AAAAAATCGATAGTTTACGAAGAGTTCTAGAGTTCTTGTTCGTTTAAATAGCTAAATTATTTTCATTTACAGCTCTGGCACTCTTAAAATAATTATAAGTAATGATTATACATATAAATTCTAGGCGATAATAAAATGCTGTCATATTATGACAACTTCTAGAACACATTATGCTCCTAAATTACAAAGCTTCTAAATAATAACTTGACTCTTTCTATATTGAGACCCATGGAGTTCTAGAATGTAGTATTTTTTGAACATTTTTAAGTATTATTAATAAATAGAAATTAAAGACTATATTGAGATGCTGCCATATTATGACGAGTTCTAAAATATACAATGCTTCTAAATGATCACTTGACTCTCTCTGCATGGAATCCTGAAGAGTTCTAGCCTTTAGAACTTTTTGAATAAATTTAAGTATTGATAACAAACAGAAATTATAGACTATAGTGAGATGTTATCATGTTATGTCGAATTCTAGAAGAGTTCTAGCCTCTAGCATGTCTTCAATAATTTAATGTATAAATAACAAACATAAAATATAGACCATAGTGAGATGCTAGCACATTTTGATAAGTTATAGAATATATAATGCTTCTAAATGATAACATAATTCTATTTACATCGAGACTCAAATAATTCTAGCCTCTAGCACTTTGTCAATAATTTTAAGTAATAATATAATAATAAACAAAAATTATAGACTATAGTGAGATGCTGTCATATTATAACGAGTTCTAGAATATTTAAGGCTTCTTAATGATAACATAATTTTTCCATTAAGACCCAAAGAGTTCTAGACTCTAACACTTTTTTAATAATTTTAATTAATAATAACAAACAAATATTATAGACTATAGTGAGATGATGTCATATTATGACGAGATCTAAAATATACAATGCTTCCAAATGATAACTTAACTCTTTCTGCATCAAGACCCAAAGATAGGCCTCTAAGCACGTTTTCAATAATTTAATGTAACAGAAATTATAGACCATGGTGAAATGCTGACACACTATGACGAGTTATAACGCTTTTAAATGACATATAGACTATCTATGGGTAGAATTGGGAAGAGTTCTATCCTCAAGCACTTTTTGAATAATTTTAATTATAAATAATAAACAGAAATTATAGGCTATAGTGAGATGCTGGGACATTATAATGCGGTCTGAAATTTATAACAGTTTTAAATGATAACTAGACTATCTCTGCATGGAGTCGCGAATAGTTCTAGCCCATAGCGTTTTTGAATAATTTAATGTAAGAGAAATTATAGACCATGATGAAATGCTGGCACATTATGACGAGTTAGAGACTATATAATGCTTTTAAATAACATATAGACTATCTTTGCATAGATCGGGAGGAAGAATTCTATCCTTAAGCACTTTTTGAATAATTTTAATTATAAATAATAAACAGAAATTATAGACTATATTGAGATGTTGTCATATTATGACGATTTATAGAACAGTTAAATGGTATTTTGACCGCCTTGCATTGATTGCCTAATATTTCTATCCTCTGCCACTTTTTCAATAATAGTACGAAATAATAACAAACAGAAATTATGGATCAAAGTGAGATATTGGCACGCTATGATGAGTTCTAAAAAATATGATGCCTCTAAATGATACCTTGACCCCTCTGCATTGAAACACAAAGAGTTCTAGCCTTTAGCACTTTTTCAATAATTTTATGTAATAATAATATACAGAAATTAAATACTTAGCACTTTTTCAATAATTGTAAGTAATAATAATAAACAGAAATTATATACTATAGTGAGATGCTGGCACACTCTGACGAGTTCTGAAATATACGAGGCACGTCCAGAAAGTAAGTTCCGTTTGGTAATAAAATTAAATTGTGTACAGATACAGAAAAATTATTTATTGTACAAAATTCTACAACTCTTAAACTACTTTTTCACATAACTGCCGAAATTTTGTAGGCATTTGTCATAGCGTGGCACAAGTTTTTGTATACCTTCTTCATAGAAGTTTGCCGCCTGTGTCTTCAACCAGTTGGAAACAGTTTCTTTCAGCTCGTCGTCATTGTTGAAGTGTTGACCGCCAAGGAAAGACTTGAGATGTAAGAACAGATGAAAGTCGCTAGGAGCGAGGTCTGGGCTGTACGGAGGATGGCCAAACACGTCCCAGCCAAATCCCTGTAGGAGGTTTTTCGTCACATTTGCAGTGTGTGGTCGTGCGTTGTCGTGAAGAAAAACAACACCTTTTGACAGCAATCCTCGGCGCTTATTCTGTATTGCGCGGCGCAATTTCCCAAGTGTCTCGCAATAAGCATCAGCTGTGATTGTTTGACCACGCGGTAAGAAATCAATGAGTAAGATGCCTTTCCAGTCCCAGAACACTGTGCACATCATTTTTCGAGGTGTCAAGATTTGCTTCGGCTTAACCTTTGCTGGGGATGAAGTGTGCCTCCATTCCATTGATTGCCGCTTACTTTCAGAGGTGTCGTAAGAAACCCAAGTTTCATCTCCTGTGACTATCTGTGTCAGAAATTCTTCGCCACCTTCATCATAACGGGTGAAAAACTGAAGTGCACTACCCATCCGTTTTGTTTTGTGTTGCTCAGTAAGAATCTTTGGTACCCAACGTGAGCAAAGTTTACGAAATTTCAGTTTTTC